ACGAAGTGCACGGGATCAGCTAGTATATATATATATATATGTATATAATTTTTTATATGTAAGCCCCCCCCATTGAAAATAGCTGTGTACGCCACTGAGATGCATTGTACATTCATTTGTACATATCTGTACAGCAGCTGTTGAACCAAAAAATATCAGTGTGCATTTTTTTATACAACCAAAAACCAAATTTGAGAAGATAATTCAACATAATATTCATTTAGTTTCAATTTATTATATATATACAAGTATTTCAATTAGAATTGATAAAAAAATATAATTAATAACATATAAAGAAATTGAGGTTAGGTGTTTTAACAAAAACTGTATACATTTCACAGAAGAAATTATGAAATATAAATTGCATGATATATAATAAGTTTAAAATAAAAACAATTTTTGGTACCAATAATTGATATTTCATTAAAAAAAAAATATATATATAATAAAGAAAATAATTATGTACCAGACAAAATAACACAATTAAAAAAAAAATACATTGAAGGGAATAACATTTTGAGATGCAAGAATGTTGATGAAAATATGAATTGTAGTAGCATTAAGAATTGGCACTCATGACTCATGCACTTCTTATGCTTTGTATGAGTTGAAATATAACTGAAAATAAATAAACACAAATTATTAAGTGTTATTAATAGCACATTTGAATACAAATACGATGTATAATAAAATTATTTAATTAGTTTCAAAATACATGTTACGCTCATTTATTTATTTTTAAAATTAAAGTTAAAATAACTAACACCATTGATTATGAATACTATTAGTATTACTATTATTCACAATCAATGATCATACCTATGAACTAAAGAACACTATGAAATAAATAATCATTTGATGATAGTGCATTCAACCCCTAAGCAATTGCAGTCAAATTGGGTACCTGGATGTACCAACCGCAATTAAAATTCACCAGTTATCAAAGGAATTTTACTATTTATAAACATAAATATGTATAATAATTTATAGTTATAAAATTGTAAATACAGTTTTATTTGTAAATAAGATGAAAGTGTAGTCAGCTGGATGTCAGTGGGTTTTGGTGAAAGGGTTAGTATATTCCAACCAATAAAATAATTAATAACCATACTTCTTAAACAAATTTTTTATAAATTAATATTAACAATACAATTTAATTAAGTAGTTTCTTAAAATGGTGACAAAAAAAAAAATTAAATCACATTATAATAGCTTACAACTTATTCATAGATTTAATAAATTATAATGAGTAATATACAAATAATATCAGATACCTATTGGCTAGTCTCAGTGGCGTATTTACGATTTTGGTGCCCTAGGTGCACTCATTTTGGCGCCCCTTTTTTTCTCAGTTTCCTTTTATTCATTATCACAAAACAATTTTAAGCCACCTCTAATTTAAAATTTACTTTTTATCTCAGTTTATAGTGCAGGGCTTGAAACCGGTATAAACTGTTATAAAACCGAAATCAGGAATAAAATCAAAACTGAACCGAAAAAAATTGGAAACCGGTATTAAATTCAATAGAGACTTGAAAAAAATTGGATACAGGTTACAATTAAAAACCGAAAATATATATATTCCCCTTAATGCATTTATGCTTCCACTAATTTAGAGAACACTTTTATTTTACCATTAACACTCCGTTTATTCCTAATTAAATAAACAAATAATAATTTAGATTATAGCCTTTTAGCCTTTTTTTACGACAATTTAATAAAATACATTATATATATATATATTATATTTAAAGAAATATGTATAGAAATATTAAAGATATTACAAGAAAGATACAGGTATTCACTTATCAGTTATCACTAATATAATTTCTCAACAAATCCAATAAAATAAAAAAAATAATGTTGTTAGGTATAACCTCTAGCGACGGCGCCCCTTTGATGACTCAGAATTTGGCACCCCTGTCCCCTCCTAAATGCGCCACTGGCTAGTCTACATTAGTTAAATAAAAAAATAAAAACAACAAGCTAGTGAGGCTTTTTGATCTAGAAATATATTTTGTTTTAGGTAAGCGACATCAAAAAGTGATGGGCATGTTTTTTATAAATATTTAATATTTATATTTAGAGGTATCGAGCACTATACATTGTAATAATAGTAACATGATAATTACTTTTGTATTAGTTTGGGAACAATTGCAGTTTAGCTACCAAGCGATTTTTTCAAATTTTTTTTTCGAAACCTAGGTAAATCAACGTTTTAAAAATGATGGTGCCAAAAAAAAGTTGCGCAAACTCTTAGTTTTTGAGTTATAACTGTTTGAAATTCAAAAATTCCCAAATTTTGAATTTTGAATTTTGATTTTTTTTTGTGGTAGACTTATGTATTTTGACTATTTAAAAACGATGGTGTAATCAGAATTTGTCGATCGAATTTAGTTTGAAAGTTATAGCGGTTTTAAGTTATGAAAGTTAAAAGTTGCAGTGATTACGAGTGTATTGGCACTCGTCGCTACGCTCCTCGGCGCCGTCGCTCCGCTCCGCAAATCGAAAATATCCCCCGATTTGTTGTGTAAAACCACCTCAGGTGAACCTCGGAATTAAACATAGTTGTTTTTTGCCAATTACAAAAACATTTATATTTACGATATTTGGATTCAGGTTATATTTGTCCAACATATATTCCCAGTTAGGCGATAACTAGGTAGATAACATTATGTCTGTTAAATATGTTAAAAAAATAATAAAAACAGTTTATTTATATGTATTTTAAAAGTTTCATAATTTCAAAACTAATCATTAGTATTATGATTAGTAATATCGAGAAATTATATATCTGAAAAATATAAGGCGCAACTACCTCACTTGGCGACTTGGTTCAACAAAATAAAATTTTCTTTAAAAATCCAAAATTTTTAACTTAAAACCGCTATAACTTTCAAACTAAATTCGATCGACAAATTCTGATTGCACCATCGTTTTTAAATAGTCAAAATACATAAGTCTACCACAAAAAAAATTCAAAATTCAAAATTCAAAATTTGGGAATTTTTGAATTTCTAACAGTTATAACTCAAAAACTAAGAGTTTGCGCAACTTTTTTTTGGCACCATCATTTTTAAAACGTTGATTTACCTAGGTTTCGAAAAAAAATTTGAAAAAATCTCGTGGTAGCTAAACTGCAATTATACCTTAGTTTGCCTCAAACTTCAAATAATTTAATAAATTCTAATTTTTTTTCATATAATAAATATATGCTTAACAGGTAAAACAACTGTGCAGTCCAAAAACGTGACGTGACAACACAACAACAGACAATAAATATTGTTGTTCAATTAGCTACAATCATAAAATGTATGGTCCCCATGTCATACACTTAATCACTATTAATATTAGCCCATATAATATTATCATTGAGACAAACAAAATAGTATATGTCATAAAAAGAACGTACCAGATCCGCATACAACAAATAAAAATAGTGCCAGCAGCCACGGACTAACAGGTGTTTTATTTTTCTCTGATTTCTGAAAAATTCAAAATGTGAAATAAATCAACTGAATGGTGATGACTGATGAGGAATGGAAAGGAGAACAAAACGCAAATACTTCGCTGTTTTGGGATGGAGGACGTATTTCACTTACGGTAGATTTGG